TGCAACGCGTGCGAGTGGATCATGGGTGCCACGCGTGCGAGCGCAACGATCGGCTCGACCGGGCATTGAGACTGCATCGAGGCCGCTCCCGCTCGCCCGGCGCACCTGGCGTGCGGTTCGGCGGCAATGAGGTGAAGCACATCGACGACGGGACGTAGCGCGGGCGCCAGCGCGACGACACGAGCACCTCCGCCAGGCGCCCGCCACCGCCGCCAACAACCCCGGCATGCAGGCCATCCTCCAAGCCCAGATCATCCGCCTCTCCGCTCTCTCGCCCGAGATCCACGAGGCCAAGGAAACGGTAGTGCACATGAGGCAGGCTGATGGTGCCTGGAGGGCCGCAGACACCAGACATGGACAACTCGTCAACAGCGTCATCAAGCTACGAGGGGGCTTGTCCGCGGCCGAGGCCAAGGAGGCCGAAGCAGCGCTGCGGGTGGCCAAAACGAAGTCCATCAAGAAGATGGCGGCCGAGGCGCTCGCCAAGGCCGAGGGCGTGTGCGGCAACCACGCCAGCCAGGACAGCCAGGACCCAGCCCCAGTCTTCACCGTGAGCTGGGATCCGCAGCTGTGCTCCAGTGCCCGACTTCGAGGAACGCGAGCAGGCCGAGCTCGATGCCGTGAAGAAAGGGCTCGAGGTGCCCAAGAAGCAGCTCGACATCAAGGGGCCCCAGGCCCACAGCCTCATCAAGCGCGCACGCGAAGTGCGCACTGCGCAGGAGGAGAAAGCAACAGGAGAAGCGGAAGGGCCCGGACGGCGACTCGACGGCGGCAGAGGCCAGCAGCGGCACCGCCGATGGCGCAAGCAGTGAAAGCGCGGGCGCTGGAGGTGGAGGGGGAGGGAGGGGGAGGAGGAGGAGGAGGAGGAGGAGGAGGAGGAGGAGGAAAAGGGGAGGAGGAGGAGGAGGAGGAGGAGGAGGAAGAGGAGGCGTAATTTGCCTGTCATATCACAACAAATGCAACAACATGTCAACTCTGAATGGAAGGATTCTTAAAGCAACTACATGTCAACACAAAGTGAATATAATCGGCATTACCTTGGTCTTGGGATCCTCCTTTGGTCTCGGACTGAGTATGCCCAACTATTCGGGCACTCCTGGCCCAGTTCGCCCTCAGCGTTTCGGCGTGTGGTTGGCCATCCTCTTCAGGACCTGCCACAACCAACCACACGGGGCAGGCCGACGCTGTCACGAACGACATCCCTGTTTCCTCTGGGACTCCTTCGTACACACCAAAGTTGCCAGAAGATGTCAAGCAAAGTTATTGGAACCTGCTGTTTTGGCCCTCAAAGAAGGGAGGGAACAACTGCCCCCTCTTTCGTGACACCGTCGGCACCTGGCGGACTGGCCGCAGGTGCCCCCTTTCCCCTTGAATGTCTGACCCCCCGCCCCCGTGACCAGAGCACCGACTGGAGCACAGGACGGCGGAACCGACTTCACAGCAGGCATGCCGGAATCTCTTTGTAACACGCGCGGGCATGCCGGAATCTCTCGGACTGATGGGAAAAAGGCTGCGCCGCCGAAGACGAGCTCCTGGAAAGCTTCGGCTGATAACCCGTAATTTGCCTGTCATATCACAACAAATGCAACAGCATGTCAACTCTGAATGGAAGGATTCTTAAAGCAACTACATGTCAACACAATTGTAATAGAATCGGCATTATCTTGGTCTTGGGATCCTCCTTTGGTCTCGGACTGAGTATGCCCAACTATTCGGGCACTCCTGGTCCAGTTCGCCCTCAGCGTTTCGGCGTGTGGTTGGCCATCCTCTTCAGGACCTGCCACAACCAACCACACGGGGCAGGCCGACGCTGTCACGAACGACATCCCTGTTTCCTCTGGGACTCCTTCGTACACACCAAAGTTGCCAGAAGATGTCAAGCAAAGTTATTGGAACCTGCTGTTTTGGCCTTCAAAGAAGGGAGGGAACAACTGGAGGAGGAGCCCCTCCTGCCAATCAGCCAGCTGCTGGCAGTCAGGGTGAGGCCGCTCAGGCCGCGCAGGCCAAGCAGCAGGAGGCAGCGCTGAGGGCCGAGGCCGCCAAGCTATCTACCGCCAAGCTCGCAGCCCAGGCCGCCATGGGCAAGGCCAGTAGCGACAGCGGCAGGAACAGCGGCAAGGGTGCCAGCAGTGGCAGCAACGACAGCAAGGGGCGCAGCTCCTCGCATTGACGAGGTCCCGATGGACCTAGAGTCGGCCGGATCGAGGGTGACATGGTCCACGAGGACCACATTGACCACGGTACACGTACTTGTCCTCGCATTCTCGGCAACATCAGTCATGGGCGACAGGTGCTGGGAGTACTTGAGCGCATGTGACGATGACTACATCGGCCTTGTCGAGAACCACATCGGGCTCGCTGACGTGGGCAGCTGGAGGTCCCGTGCTCGAGGACAGTGTAGAAGCTCACGTGCAATCCCGCCGTCCTTCTCGACACATCCTGCCTGACCGGTGGCACGAATTTCCTGAAACGCCTGCCGCCGGCCATGCCAACGAGGCGG